ATGTTTTGGTGAACGACAAAGGGATATTAACGAAAGACGAAGCATTTATCCAAATCGTCAAAGGTTTTGCCGGAACTCAATCAGTTATGGCGAATAGCGAAGGTAATACCAACTGACGAACTGTGGAGTGGGATCAGCATTCCGTTTTGCCCATATGCTGAAGGTTTTGCCGGAATGCCTCTCACTGGCGCCACCTATGTGCTGATCGGACGAATGGGTTTTGCTGATTGGCCATCGAACAACGCAAAAAGGTGTATTAATGGGAAAGAAATAATGCCAATGTTTGCCCTCACCAAGCATGTTACCACGACAATGGAAGAATGGGGTGTAGTACCGGGTGCGTATTATTTAGGCCAGGGTTCATAATGTCCAGGGTACGATGTGTCCAGTGCTCGAAATGGCCAGTGCCTTGAATTGGCCAGTGTTCATATTGTCCAGGGTTTGCATGGTCCAAATGTGGCCAACTGGCTGCAGATAGGGTAAATTCAAAGAGGCCAGGGTTCATAATGTCCAGGGAACGATGTGTCCAGTGCTCGAAATGGCCAAGGTTCATAATGTCCAGGGCACGATGTGTCCAGTGTTCGAAATGGCCAGGGTTCATAATGTCCAGGGCACGATGTGTCCAGTGTTCAAAATGGCCAGTGCCTTGAATTGGCCAGAGTTCATAGTGTCCAGGGATTACACAGTCAACCAAACCAAACCAAACCAAACCTAACCTAACCTAACCTAACCTAACGTAACCAGCATCTGCGATGCCGGGCTCCGCATCGCGGGACCGCAGGTTGTTTGAGCAAGCACCTCTGTACCGCCCGCCGCAAAACGCAAAACCGCAAAACTCGCAAAACGCACGCTCAAAACGCAACGCAAAAGTCGCAAAAAAACAATCGCCCGCAGGCACAAAACCGCAGAAAAAACGCAAAAAAGCCACAAAAACGCCCGTCCGCCGCAAAACGCAAACACCGCAAACAACGCAAATACCACCGCCACAAAAAATCGCCCGCCGCCAAAGGCAAAACGCCGCGAAACGCGGCCGCCCGCCTAAAACCGCAACACCGCCAATAACGCTCGGCCGCCGGCAACCGCAAAACCCCGCAAAAAACGGCCGCCCGCCTCAAACTACAAAACGCCGCAAAAAACGGCCGCCCGTCGCAAACCACCGCTAAAACGGCCGCCCGCCGCCAAACGCAAACACCGGAAAACACCCGCATCGCCCGCCCGCCCTGCGCCAAACACAAAAAAAGCAAAAAACGCAAACACCGCCGCAAAAAAACGCCCGCAACGCACGCCCGCCCGCCGCCAACCGCAAAACGCCGCAAAAAACGGCCGCCCGCCGCCAAACAAAACCACCGCAAAAAACGCAAAAACGGCCGCCCGCCGCCAAACGCAAACACCGAAAAAACGCAAACACCGCCGCGAAAACGCCCGCCGTAGGCAAAACGCAAACACTGGCTCACTAAGACAAATATGGCGCCTTGCGGCAAGTGTGGTGTATTCATATCTGCCGTTTAAGCAGCCATCCCTCAATCAAAGCGCATCCTAATCGTCCCATGTTCGATAAAGTTACGCACATTCTGTGATTTGTGGCAAAAATGGCGCTTTGAGACAAATGTGGCGCACTGCGACAAACGTGGCGCATTTGTTCCTGTCGCTTAACAATTTTATCCACCCACCAAAGTCTAGCCCAATTGGACTTAAACTGACAAAGTTATGTTCATTTGAATATTTCACTATAAAATATCTCCGCAACGGAGGTGCCCAAATTTGCACGTGTGCCACGTGACCGCCGTTAGTGTAAGCAGGACTTGTCCCCTCACTGATTGCACTATTTCAGTGTTCCTGGCTTGTGCTGTTTTCGTGCTATAAGGCCACAAATCGGCAAACACACGATAATCTGGGAGGTACGCGACTCAAACACGTGGCCACGTGGCACGTGCCGGACCTCTGATAGCTTTACCGTTCACGCCACGTGATGACCCATCGACGTGGCCATCAGCATGTAAAAGATGACCCCGGCCGGTGTCACCGTCTCTGAACAGTGGACGGCTAAACTCGAAAAACGGGAAAATTTTAGGAAATTTCACCTTTCGAACATATAATTTCCCCAGAATTTTAAATTTTTCATTTTACAAAAAATCCGAGATAGCAGTTTTTTAGCCCCCTTCATTCTGTGCCTAAACCCGTTTTCAGATCGACCCTATCACAAAAACTGACGGCCTGACGGCTATTTCCCCCACTCCTTGCATTTCACAATGCTAGTATACTTAAGCACCAAAATTGACCCCCTGCCACGGCACGTGCAATAGCACGTGCGACACGTGACCACTAGTGCGACAAGCTGGACTCATCTGCTCACCGGCTGCACTGATTTGGTGTCGCTAGTTGAAGCCGTTTCCACGCCATAGGACCCCAAGTAGGCCAATGTCGGATTTTCCCGGAGGTTACCCCATCAAACACGTTTGCACGTGGCACGTGCTTTTCAATCGCCCCATATCTGACCCATACCTTGTGGTAGCCGATACCCCGGGGCACAACATATTGGAACATTTTCAAAATCTAACGTGGAAATTTTTGACAAAATTGATTTGAAAATAATATTTCGAAATCGCCATAGGCTCAACATGGGGTAACTGTTTGTGACGATTACCCGAAATTTTGTCAATTATATTTTAAGTAATTACCACCGTCAGTTGGGGTGCCAGCCCGAGATCCGACCCTAAAAATATCAGCAAATATAATTGACGAAATTTTTCGCAGATCGCATTTTAATTTTTTCCCATGTTAACCCTATGGGAAAATGCACGTGCCGATTACCCCAAAACGGGCCATTATATTTCAAAACGAAGCATAACAACATGTTCTATGGTCGTTTCTCAACAGGTCCTGAAAGTTTAAACAAAATCGTATCATATAATTTTGTGCAATGAACGAATGAAAATGTCTCTGCAAAAACGCCCATTGACTTAACATGGGGAGCGAAAAAAGTTCAACTTTGACCTCGTTCAAAGGCACGTTACGAAATTCTGAGGGGTATACGGCGCACACTAGCGTGTACCCAAACATGTTTGCCATAAAATTCTAGGAAGAAAACCACCGCCTTCTTGGCTCGTTTTGCCGCCATTCGCGATCGCGCAAAAAGTGTCCAAAACCCCATTGACTTAACATGGGCGAAAATTGAAACGCACGTGCCACGTGCCACGAGGTTTTAAGCGAGTAGCGACCGGTGCCATCAGGTAGATCGCCTGCGGGAGCCCATACACTGAAATTTTTACGAAAATCGAGCCACAAGTTTAGGCCCCAATCAAGTTGCCCCAATCTCAGGCCAACCATGCAAAACATAGCCCGGAGAAGGACCGCTCCGGTTGTTTTTCAATAGAAAAACACAATTCTAACGAATAGTGTTTGTCTTTTCAAACAACCTGCGGTTACCTAACCTAACCTAACCTAACCTAACCTAACCTAACCTAACCTAACCTAACCTAACCTAACCTAACCTAACCTAACCTAAGGTAATGATGTTTGCCTACCGGGGATAAGGAAATAGTTTCTCGCATGAATAGATTGCAAGCAATAGTAAATCAAATATTTTTAGGTTGAGTGGTTATGCATCAGGCTTCAGGCCTTCGGCCTGAAGCCAGATACATAACCACTTAACCTAAAAATATTTGATTTACTATTGCCTGTAATCTCTCCTAAGGCATTGCCTTCGGCACTGCACTGCTTCGCATTGAGCTGGTTCCGTGTTTTTACATAATGACGTCACTTTCAATGACTATGTAATCCATGGACATTATGAACTCTGGCCCATTCAAGGCACTGGCCATTTTGAACACTGGACACATCGTTCCCTGGACATTATGAACCCTGGCCATTTCGAACACTGGACACATCGTGTCCTGGACATTATGAACCCTGGCCATTTCGAACACTGGACACATCGTGCCCTGGACATTATGAACCCTGGCCTCTTTGAATATACCCTATCTGCAGCCAGTTGGCCGCATTTGGACCATGCAATCCCTGGACATTATGAACTCTGGCCTATTCAAGGCACTGGCCATTTCGACACTGGGCATATCGTACCCTGGACATTATGAACCCTGGCCAGAATGAATGTTCCCCGTAGTACCCCTCCCCGGGCCCGCCGCGGGCTGGCAGCGGCGGCCGGAGCCGGTCCGACCTTTGGCCGGCCGGGTCAGGTAACCGGGACGGCCGCGCCGCGGCGCCGCGCCGGGGCCGGCCGGGAGACGGAGTCGGGTGCCCGCCGGCGAGCCGTCGGCAAGGGCGCGGGGCACATTAGTCGAGTTGAATGTTCACTGTTCAGTCTTGAGTGCGAGTGATGTATGTGTGAATCGATATGTGAGCAGCAAAATCCAACAAGAAAACAAAATCCGTGAAAGAAAGGCAACGCTGGCAAACATCACCACCATAGTCTTCCTACGCCGAACGGGTTCCACACCAACGTGCATCAGCGAGAGTAAAACTAGGATCCTAACAGACCCGCCCACCGCCCCACCGTCACCCCATTCCTTCCCAAGTCTCCTTCCTCTCCGCTCGGGGCGGCTTTCAGCTACGCAAGAAGGAATCGGCAGAGGCGTCTTTCAGCTACGCAAGAAGGAATCGGCAGACACAGACACCTGGGCGAGCGAGGAGGGGAAGTTGAGACCGTGTTTCCGCCAAAAGAGAAAACAACCAAGGTCGGTGGTAGGTAACTACACCTGCGCTATCTACATCAGCTGCCCCGCATGACACTTTGAATTCTAGAGTAACGGTTTACGAAAAACCTTCGCCACATTTACCTTTTTCAACCTGTCTAATTTCATCAGCATGCCATCAGGTACATGAATTCCCGAACAAATAAAAACAACAACAACAACAACAATAACCATAACAGGCTGTGTGGCAGCAAATACCAGTAACTATACAGTAAGTGGCGGCACTGCCGACCATCTCGGCGGCCCGGTTCAGCGCAGCGCTGGACGGCACCCCGAGCCCGTACATACCGGCGACTGCTGAGAGCCGGACGGGGCCGGCTGCTCCACCACCACCACAGGCGGCTCCGTCTAGCGGGACAGAGCATGCAGTCAGCTACAGTCAGCTACAGTCAGGCCCGGTCGGACGGCCGCGCCGCGCCACCACAACACCAACGTGCCTCACTACACACCATTTAACATAACATAACATAACATGTATTCCATGTAACAGCAGGCCACTTGGGCCCAACGAGGTTACAGGTAGATGAACAAACACTGTATGTAAAACACGGTACAATTACACCATTTCATCGAACACTAGCCCACGCTGTTTATGATACAAGTCTAACTCATTTTTAAAATTACTTAAGGAGGAACTATTGATAACTCTAGGAGGTAAACCGTTCCAAGCTTCTATGACCCTACTGGTAAAAAAGGACTGTCTTAACTTGGTTCTGGAAAATTTCTTTACTAGTTTGCACCCATTTCCTCTCGTGGAATTTGTATTGAGTGTAAACATCTTCCCAAAATCTAACTTATCAATCCCTTTGTATATTTTAAAAAGTTCAATCAAATCCCCTCTTATCCTGCGGTAATGAAGTGAAAACATATTTAAGGAAGCCAGGCGTTCTCTGTAGCTCATTTCACCCAGCCCTCGAACCATCTTTGTTGCCCTCCTCTGCACACGCTCCAAAAGTTTTATATCCTTTTTTAGAGACGAGTGGCATGCTTGTGCACAGTATTCAAGATGAGGCCGAACTAATGAACAATAGAGTCTTTTCATTACTTCTTTACTTTTATATGATACATTTTTATTTATAACCCCCAACATTTTTAAAGCCTTTTTTCGAGCTTGCACATAATGGCCACTGAACTTCAGATCATTTGTCACCAAAACACCCAGGTCCTTTTCTTCCCTCACAGTTGCCAACTTAGTTCCATTCAAATAATATGTATCGTTACTTTTTACTCCCAGATGAAGAACTTTGCATTTATCAGCATTAAATTCCATCTGCCATTCCTTGCTCCATTTTAAAAGAGCATCTAAGTCTGCCTGTAGTGCTCTTCTATCGTCATCTGAAGTAATATTTTTAGCTATCTTGATATCATCCGCGAATTTCCATATGTTACTTGTTAAGTCAGAGTCTATAAGATCTACAAAAATAATGAAAAGCAATGGTGCTAAAACAGTTCCCTGAGGCACACCACTCTTGACAGCTTTCCAGTCAGCTTGATGGCCATTTAGAATGACTCGCTGCCTGCGACCTATTAGCCAGGCCCCTATCCATTTGAGAAGAGGACCGTCTAAACCATGACGCTCTAATGTGATCAAGAGTCTTTTGTGTGGAACTTTATCGAATGCCTTGCTGAAGTCTAAATAAACTACTGATACACTGTTACTCCTGTCCAAAAGGTCTGTCGAATATTCAAGGAAATCTAATAAGTTTGTCAAACAGGAGCGTCCACTACAAAAACCATGTTGAGATGGAAGTAAAATCTCGTGTTCCTCAAAATGAGCAACTATTTGACGTTTTATGATTCTTTCTAGCACTTTACACACGACCGAACTTAAACTTACTGGTCTATAATTGCTCACTACAGTTTTGTTTCCACCTTTGAAGATTGGAATGACATTCGCACACTTCCAATCATCAGGAATTTCACCTGATTCTAATGACTCTTTAAAGATAATGTAAAGTGGAACAGATAATTCTCTTGCTCCTTCTTTTAAGACCCTAGTGCTAATATTATCTGGACCACTTGTCTTATTTGCTTTAAGATTACACAAAGCTTTAGTTATGTCATCCTCAGACAGGTAAATAGTTGTAAGTTTAGGGTGTGTTGTCGATTCAGGTACATTTATAGGAAACTGCCTGAGGCACTCATCAGTAAAAACGCTCGAAAACTGGTCATTGAATATTTTAACCTTGTCGGCATCGTCATGGTAAACCTGATGCTGACTTTCTATTGGTCCAATCCTTGAATCATGTTTATTAAATTTATAAAAACCGAAGAACTTTTTCAAATCACCTCCACACTCATTGGCTAGATTTATTTCTGATGCTCTTTTTGCTTTTCTTATACTCCTTTTAAGTCTCCTTCTGGCTGAAATATAATTAGCCTTATTTTCTTGTGTTGGGTTGGTTTTCATTTTGCGAAACGCACCCTTCTTTTCACTGAAATGTTGTCGTACCAGGCTATTGAACCAAATAGGTGTTGCGGACTTCCCTCCACGCTGCTTTTTCATAGGAATAAACTGATTTTGAGCCTCAGTGAGTGTTTTCTTGAAAAACTCCCACATTCCGTGAACATTTCTGCCTTCTAACATAGTTCTCCATTTAATGGTTTGAAAGAATGCCCTGATTCCATCATAATCTCCTCTGGCAAAATTGGGCATGATCGGTAATGTAACCTTTCTTTTCTGTACTTGACCCTGTATGCTGAATCTGATAAGCACATGATCACTATTTCCAATGCTTTCGCCTGAATTCACGTCTCTGATAAGGTTTTCGCCGTTAGTCAAAATTAGGTCAAGTATTTCATTATTTCTAGTTGGCTGGACAACATGCTGTGTCAAAAAAAGCTCTTCAAAGTTTTCCCTGAAAAGCCTCGATTCCCAGTTTGCATTTGTACTCATAAGTTTTGGCAAATTAAAATCTCCTATAATGATTGTCCTTTGACTTATTCCGCTCTCTATCTCCTTTATCATAGCTAAATCTGTATCCTTCGATTGATTAGGGGGTCTGTAGAATGCACCTAATCTGATTTTATTTGTTGAAGCATCATCCACGGAAATGTCTATCCAGAGTGCCTCAATATTAGTATTTTTAACAAAACGGTCTATTTCAATAGCCTTAAGATTCCTCTTCACATATATAAGAATTCCGCCTCCTACCTTCGCTGTTCTTTGGTAGGAGAACAGATTATAATTGTCTGCCTCATAATCTTTGATGCGATCCCCCAACAACCCTTCACTAACCCACGATTCTGTCAAAATCACTAAGTCAGGCTCTTCAGAATTCATGTAAAGTTGCAGCTCTCCAAATTTATTTCTTATACTCCTAGCGTTTGTGTACAAACATTTTAGAGACGTGTCAATGACCTTTGCTTTTTTGTCTTCCTCACCTTTAGACCTCTTTAGTTTCCCTGTTGTACCCTCTTTTCGTAGAGTTCGCTCAAAAGGAGCACGCCCTTTCTATTTAAGTGATAGCCATCTATCGAATACAGTTCTTGTTTGTCCCAGAAATCATCCCAACAGTCGATAAACCCTATGTTGTTCTCCTTGCACAATTTTTTAACCCTTGTATTAATCCCAATGGCTCTAGATGACCACTCTTTTCCAGCACCAAGTTTGGGGAGAATGCTAGTTATTATGCCTTTTCTGCCTGATTTAACCATTTCCGTAATCACCATCCTATAGGTATCAATAAGTTCCTCCGAAAGGGTGCTACCGACGTCGTTAACTCCACCGTGCAAAATAACGACACAGTTTGGTCCACTACCCCGCATTACTTCAGGGAGCCTGTCCGATAAGTCTTTAAGCTTCGCGCCCGGCAGGCACACCCTCATGCGTTTGTCTCGGCTACGTTCACAAAAGGCTCTGTCCATGAATTTAACCCTGGAGTCTCCATAAACCATAACCTCTGGTTCCTCCGTTTCACTTCTACCTTCTCCTTTGGACCTAACATTGGAGACATTCAGATCCTTTCCGGTGCATTCCCGGCCTGGTCTCAAACATTTATCAGTGGTAGCACCTTCAGACCCTACCCATGCTTCACGATCTACTTGGTTGTCAGCAGGCAACGATTCACCTGGTGACTCATCGTTCCCATTTGCGCATTCTGTTACCGTCGACATGTTCTTATGAGCAATTTCTCTACGAATACCCTCTTGTCTCATCCTAATATCCCGTATTTCATTTCTAAGTTGGTCTATACTGAATTGCATGAGCCTAATGGCCTCCATAACGTCCATCAGTGTGACGCCTAAGAACGATGGGCCAGGTAACGAATCGGAGTGAGCATTATGGACAGTGTGCCCTGTAAAATCCGTTGCAGTATCAGAGGCAACGCGGTCAAACACATCACCTACCCAACCACCACTATAACCCTCTACCCGTTCTACTTGCTCCCTGTCCCCTGAACCAGATCTCGGCAGCTCCCCCTTTGGCTCGCCAATGGTCAGCTCCGGTGCCACTAGTAGGGGCGGTGCCGGTACATTTGCCACGGGCAGGGACGGAACTGGCGACCTCTCTCGCTGCTCTGGTGCCACTGGAAGGGACGTTGTCGGCTCCGATACCACTGCCAGGGGTGCAGGTGAACTTTCTGGCTGGCCTGGGGTCGGCTCCAGTGCCACAGGCAGCGGCGGTGCAGTTGACTCCTCTAGCCGGCCAGAGGACGGCTCCGATGCCATAGACAGAGGCGATGTCGGCTCCGATACCACTGCCAGGGGAGCAGGTGACCTCTCTCGCTGAGCAAGTGTCGGCTCCGGTGCCACAGGCAGAGGCGGTGCAGGCGGCCCTTTATAAGGTCCGCCAGCACTTTGAGCTGCAACGGGGATCGACTCCAGTATCTTCGAAGAGAGCATTTTAGGTTGTGCGTGATGGCTTGAACACAGCCAGTTATCACTCCGCCTATCTTGGGTGCAAGTTACGTGCGACATATTCTGGCACATACTGGCTGCGCAAAGCAGTACTCCGGCTGTTTTGTTTCCTCTAAGCGTCTTGAATGTTAGCGGCATTTCACATATATTGCACAATTTTGACTCATCTTTAATCAACCTCTGAAGTTTTTGCTTCAAATCCGAGCGGATAATAGGCATCTGGAACCTTGAAGTCAGCTGATCTAGGAAGGGGACTAAGTGTGACGTCGTAAAAATCATGGCTGCTCCCAATCCATCAGGCCCTGTTTGGTTAGATTGAATGAGAACAGTTGAAGTAGTAAAATAGCTTGTCATGGCCACTTTCAAAGTTTCGAACTCAATTTTGGCAAAGAACTTGGTTATCAGCCGAGTACGGTCATGCGATCTTTTTTGATCAGTTACTCTGATTCCTTTGTGTTCAATGAGCTTCCCAAACTCGTTCTTAAATA